TATCAGTGCTTTCTGAAATTTCACCTCTTCTTTTAAATCTTAAGTTAAGGATGATCTCTATCTCTAGTTCCTCAAACACTGGGAAAGAGGCAAAAAGTGCTGAGGAACTTGTCCAAGGTCACATAGCTGGGACCTGAAGGAGAATTTGAAAGCCAGACCTTCTGACTCAAAGCTCGTGCTTTTCCTAGCTTCCCATTTCACAGCCCTCATCATAGCTTCTTTTGTAGCATCTGTTCAAGAAATAATTTGTAAAATGGACTGGGATAAGACTAGTTTTCTTGTTAAGCTTAAGGAACCTGCTTAGTAAGTGATCCAGAGAAAAGAGTTATATTTTCTCCAACCTTGGCATCACATCCCTTGTCTATCTTCACAGTATAGCCAACAAAATAAAGCACAGGTTTCAAGAGACAGTCCTAAAACTACCTTTGGCTCCCAACGGGGCCCGATGCCTTGTCCTAGTTCTTTATTCAGGCAGAATTGAACTATGATCAGTATGCCTGGGACAGATTAAGAATTCAATAAATATTTGTCCAATAAATGAGTGGATGATTAAATTAATAGTTTCTTCTACTGTTCAAAGGCATACGTTTACTTCCTATAGTTTCTCCTCCAATCAATTCATTCCTTCACCATGACTGTCTCCTTGTGTAACCTTTCTGTTCCTGAGTCCACTGACGAAGCAGTTCAATCCTGCTTCAAAGGAGATTTCCATATGTCCGACATCCCACTGTCCCTCTACCAGCCTCCCACCTGCCCTGTCACAATAACCTCCGTCAACCCTGGTAATGGTCTGCAGTCCTTTTCCCTTAATGTCCTACCATCTGCTGCTCATACATTTTTCAAAAGAAATGACAGTGTTATCCCCCTGCTTGAAACACAGTAATGACTTCCATTTGTCCTTCAAATCAAATAAAAATTCTTTACCATGCAAGTCCTCCTGGTATCCTTCACGATTCTCATAAGCCTCCTCAGCAGGCCAGCTGGCTTTCTTAGCCTTCATCAAAGACCACTGGGTTATCATTATCTCTCAGCACTTACCAGAAATTCTTACTGTGCATTTGTTTATCCCATCTCCTCTACCAAACTGCAGTTAGAGAATGCAGTTTATGATATTCATTTGGCAACAATGACAGATAACAATGGGTAAAAATGTATCAGGCAATATGCAAATATTTTGAAAACTTGTCTAAGCTCCATAACCCCACTAGCTAGAATGAGCATCCTCATTTTAGAAGCAGGGAAAGTGAAGAAGGAAAGCCACATGGCCAGTAAGTGGTGGGGCCTAGACCCAAACTCCAGAATGCCTTGACTCCAGAACCCATCATCTTTCACCCTGCCCTCCTGGGCCTCTCATGCTGTGCAGTTCACAAATATACAATGGGGACACTATTAAGAATGCTGCCTAAGAATACACGACATTGTCGATCAAATTGTAGCCTGAGATTTCACAGTGAAATCTAAGGTACTCTTTATACATTAAAAAACCCTTTATATACGATATGAAATGTCATATTTTAATACAAACTCCTTTAGCAACTGGTTTAACTTACTTGCTTGTATTTTGGAAACATGTTTCTGAAGAAAGTCAGCTATCTGAGCCAAAGCCTTCTTATTGCAATGTGTTGATAATTTTTCATTACACTCATAACACCTGAAAGAATATAAAATGTATATGAATAATATGAAAGCATTTAAAAATAATTTTGCACATCAGGTAACAAAGCTGTTATTTAACCATTCTGTTTCAAAATTATAGGAAGTATGTGTTAGCTAAGTCTAGAGCAATATGCAGGGGGCAGATCACACCGAGCCTTACAATTCAAATGAAAAGTTCTGGTAGTTTATCCTACATATGATGGAATGCAGGAGGGTTTTTACACAGAGGGTGACAGCATTCACTTGGCCACTTTAGAGAACAAAAGGAATAGGAACAGATTAGCTCAGTAACAGTGGCTCGAGAGCACGAGAGAGATCCACTATACGTATTTTCAGGTTGAAAGTGTAGTGAATTCGATATAGATGAGGGAGAGGAAAATGTCCAACTTTAACTGCCAGGGGAAGATTCTCCGCCAGAGGTTTTTGACCGTTGGGACATTCTGCAGTGTCTGGAGACAAGTGCAGCTGGCACGCCTTAGGGTGAGGGGAGTGTGCTTTGGGCATTTGATGGGTAGAGGCCAGGGATGCTGCTAAACACCCAGCATTGTACCAGACAGCTCTCCAAAAACGAGAATTGCCTTCCACAAATGCCAATCGTGCTGCAGGTGGGAGCTCTGGTGTAGATGACACAAGACTTGCTGCAAGTTGGTAATTAGGTTTTCCTTGGGTTTTAACTGTTAATATTGGTGGGTGGGTGGGGAGAATAACTGCCAAAGTTCTGGCTTGATTACCTGAGTGATGATAAGGTGCCACTACGAGTAATGGGGAGAATGAAAGAGTACGTGTTTTATTTTGCTTGGCACTTATTTGGGGGGCTCACTGAAGATTTTTCAAAACCATATTCCATTTTAGAAAACTAACCGCAACCAAGTTTATTATTGAATATAGTATTTTTTCTATATGTTACGAATACTTATTTTACCTCCTTAAGATCCAAAGATCAAATAAAAGCTTGTTTGAAAGTGTTTTATAAGTTGCAGTATGCTATACTAGCACTACCTACATGTTCACAATCTTCTCACCTAAAACCCTTAGATGGCCTTTGTATGCTTGTCTATATAGTACTTGGAATTCAGTCAATTATCTACTGAGTTCGTACTCTACCACCTGCCTATAGAAACAGAGACCAATTTATGAAGAAACCAGGCCACAGAAAACATTCCCCAAAGCATCTTTTCCAATAAACCATGATCAAATTTAAAGAATTTAATCAGTTACCAGGCTTACATTATATAGGTACTCAACACTTACTGATTTACTTATGTTCAAAAAACAGTATCAACACATAATTACTGACTTGCAAAACAGTGAGATGTCAACAAATACTCACTGACATTACAGATTTGATTGCTACTTGCCCTGGTAGGCTAGTGGTTACACAGCGGGCTGCCAACCACTAGGTACTCTGAGGGAGAAAGACGAGGCTGTCCACTCCCGTTGAGTTGCAGTCTCAGATTCCCACAGAAGCAGTTCTACCTTGTCCTCTACAGCTGCTATGAGTTGGGATTGACTGGACGACAGTGGGTTTGGTTTTAATTACCCTCAGTGATTGTTGTGGGATGTGAAATCAGAACACATTCTTTGGAGACAAGGAGATAATAATTAGATTAATTCGAGTTGTTTCCGTTAAAATTAATAAAAAGCTATTTTTTAATTATTGAGTTTAATACTATGTACCAGGTAGTATTCTAAGTGCTGTATGTGTACTATCTGGTTTCGTGTCCCACAACAATCACTGAGGGTAATTAAACACACACACATACAACTTTATAGACCTAAACCAAAGCTGTTGCCATCATGTCCACTTTGACACACAGTGACATGGGACATAGAGTTCACCCAGATAAAGACTGCTACATCTTTCTCCCAAGAAGTATCTGGTGAGTTCCAATGACCAGACTCTTGGCTAGCAGATGAGCACTTAACCTCTGTACTGGCTGAGCTCCTAAAATATCTGCATGGATGTACCATACTTCCTCGTTACAGCTGAGGGAACTGTGATAGAGGAAGGATTGCAAACAAATATTGCAGAGTACAGAAGAAATGTTGAATCTTCTTTTCATAAATTTTTAGAGCTGCACAAATTGATATGTAACTCTGAGTCTTAAATCATTGGCTCTTAATCATCTTTAGAACTTAGAAAATACAAGCCCAAATTCATTAATCCTATATAACGCCAAGCATGACGTTTACGTAACATTTAATTAAAATGTATCTGGTGCCGAAATTCTAAAGTTTTTGGAGCCCATGATGATGTCAACGAAATTGTCACACTTTACTAGTATAAATTCATACTGCTAGTCACGCATTTTAGCAGCAACATGCTTGAATAGTGACACAAGTTTTGACCGATTGTGTGTTTGAGGTTAAGTAGTCATTTGCGTTCAGTGCATTTTACGATAATTTTCAATCTAGTGATGTTTTAGTGTTGATATTTTTTGTATATGTTCATAAAACTGTAGTTTCTATGTCAAGTGCGTAATACTCATTAAAAAACATATTTATTATATAGTTCCACTTTTTCAAAACGTAATGAATTCATTACGTTCCTCTTTTGAATCTACAGTGACAAAAATTACCAGTATGGCTTCTGATTTGTTTTATGGAAAACGGCAAATTTATGACCTAGATGGAAGCGTTACAGACTCATACAAGGAACCAGATGCTAATATGGATGAAACTGGTAAAAAAAATGTGTATTATATTAAAAAAATTTTATTGTACAATATAAAATTTTAATTATATTGCTATTCAAACTATTTTAATAACAATATTTATTTTTTTTCCCATGATAGGAAGTGAATATACACCGATTATTCTGATTCGGATGAATTAGAAGACTTCTTAGTTAGTAATGAAAATACTAGTGAAGATGAGTTAGAAACTTCAATGTTGAAGTTGAAGAATCAATTCCAGTAACTACAAGTTCAAAGCAATATACATCAATAATTTGAAGAATTCCTCTTTGGTGGCACATTTCTGGAGATGGTACAGCTGGATGGTTAAGACAAATAGATTCTTCTGGGGGACTACAACGTCCTGTTGAATATTTTAGACATTTTTTCTCGAAGGATATCATTACTCATATTGTCGACCAATCAAATCTTTATGCAATCCAGCAAAATCCCAATAAACCTCTTGCACTGAATAGCCAGGAACTTGAGCAGTTTGGGGTACACGGCTTGCTATGTCGATGGTGAAGCTCTCAAATTCACGTTTATATTGGAAGAGCAAACCAAACTGTCCTATTGTATCGGAAGTGATAAGTAGAGATAGATGGGAAGATATAAAGTCCAACATTCACTTCAATGATAATTCACAAATTCCCTTATTTAATGAGAAAACAGATAAATTAATCAAGATCCGGCCTTTGATAGACCATTTACAAAAAAAGTTTCAGGAAATACCAATGCCCCAAATGCTATGCGTGGATGAACAGATAGTTCCACTCAAAGGTAGATCAAGAATAAATCAATATCTACCCAGCAAACCGCACAAGTGGGGATACAAATTGTTCTTTGCGATAACAAAGGCATCATGTATGATTTTTTCATATATTCAGAGAAAATTGAACCGGTGTTAGGAGAACCCGACTTGGGAGCTAGTTCAAATGTAGTACTGAAATTGGCCCAATCAATTACTGTTGGATTGAACCATTTATTATATTTTGATAACTGGTTTATGTCACTTCCTTTGATGACAACTTTAGCAAAGGAAAAAATATTTAGCTTGGGAACTGTAAGAATCAATCATTTGCCTGGCATTCCACTAATCAGGGACAAAGATTTAATGAAAAGAGGCAAAGGGTCCCATCAAGAAGTGACTGCTCCAGTTGACGATACTGAAGTACGTGTAGCGATATGGGCAGATAATAGAGTTCTAAACCTGATGTCAACTTTTGTCTCGGCAGAACCAAAGGCCAACTGTAAGCGATATGACAAAAAGACAAAACAAACAACCACAATCGATTGCCCCGCTATTGTGAAAGCCTACAATCAGTTTATGGGAGGTGTTGATTTGATAGACTCACTAATTGCACTGTACAGCATTCACATCAGATTGAAAAAATATTATCACAAATTATTTTTTCATTTTATAGATGTGACTGTTGTGAACTCTTGGCTACTTTATCGTAGAGACTGTGAGAGCCTTCAGTTACCAAAAAATCCAAAGTCTGCAAGAGTTCAAAATGAGCATCGCCAAAGCTCTTCTTCTTGAAGG